GGGGGGGGGGGGGCGGGCGCGGGCAACCCCCCCCCGACCCCTGTCCCTACAGCCGCTCCGGAGCCGCTCTGGTGCAAGGACACCTGCAGCAACAGGCGCTCTGGCCTGGCCGTCCCTCCCCAGCATCGTCGCTGCCTGCACACGGGGGCAAAGGGAGCTGGTTCCGGAGATCGACCCCCTGCCGACCCCAGCCTTTCCCCGGAGTTTTTCTCCAGCTGTGCTAGGGAACGGTTCCCAGTGCCCCCTGGCCCTCCGCCAGCTCCGATAATCCCGGGTGGATGCCGGGAGGGTAACCTGCCCATGTAAGGGCCGGCCGAGCAGCTCGGGGCGCTGGGGAGCCGTGGCCGCGCTCCGCCTGCTGCCATTCCTACGCTGTTTCCCCGTCCCCTCAACGGGATCGCTCCCTGTTGCGGTGGACACGAGCAGCTGGAGAGCAGCTGGGGCAGCTCCAGCGCTCGGGGCTTTGAGGCGCTTTCCTCATCCCAACTCCATTTGGGAACGTTCCTACACTCCCGGCTTAGCCCCAGAGAGCCGGTGCAGGAATGATGCCCCGTTCCGGCCTCGCACAAAGGGACCCGCTGGAACAATCCCCGCTGATCCCGGGGCTCGCGCGGCCGCCGCACAAATCCCCGCTCCGGGCAGGGCACTATTATGTGTGGAATTTATTTCACTCATGACTCATTCAGATGAGCCACGTTTGTAACATCAGGCATTCCAAGCAATCTATTTTTACTAGGAAAATACTGACCCTTGTAGTGGGCGAGTCCAAAATCCCAGGTCTTGGCATCCCTGCATTTTGGGGCGTTCGACTGCGAGCTCCCAATCTGCAGAGAGAAACTAGTTCTATTCTCAGAGACAGCCTGAATCCAGCTGGGACAAAGGCAGGGAACAAACAAGACTTCTCGGATTTTTATCCTTGCAGAAAAGGTCTCCCTGCTACGGAGTTTTTGTGGCAGACAAAGCACAAAGGCCCCGGGCAAAGGAGCCGGGTGTCCGCGCGCGCGAGGACGGAGCGATCCGCTCATTCCTGTTGCCAGCCTCCACAGCAGGGCTCCCCTTGGATTGGTGTGAACGCTCTGTTTTCCCTTTCCACATTCCAACGCATCACCCCGTGCATTTCAGCCTGCGGCGCGTCCGCCACCTCATCCCGCTCCGCAGCCCTTCCCGGGGCTGCCTTTGGGAAGCCCCTTCCCTGCTCGCAGAGAGCAGCTTGGGGAGCACATGGATTCCCGGAGGGGCTCAGGGCATCCGCGCGGGACCGTGGCCTCCTGCCAAAGCACCGGGAGCGCCGGAGCCGCCGTCCTGCCCCCATTCCCGGCTCCCGGAGCCGTTGGGCAGCCCGGCCGCAGCTTTGCTGCATTAACGGGATTTTCCTCCGCCGCTGCTTTGAGGCCCGAGTTCCCCTGCAGTGAGTCACGCACGCAGCCCCGGCACGGGCACGCACGGAGGGGCTGGTTGCTACAACACATGTAAACACTTCCCTCGTTGTATAAAAGGCCAAAGAGACACAAAGCCGAGCTGCATTCCCAGCCCAGCAGAACTGCGAAACGGGGGCAGAATCACGGAGAAATCCGGGGAACGTTCCCCACGTTCTGGGAGCGCTCGCGGAGCGCTGCTGAATTGCGGATCTTATTATCAGTGTGGGAAAAAGCAGAGTCCTCGAATTCTCGGCCGCTCTCCCCCTAGCCCGGAGCTTTAATGCGGTATTTTCCGCACGTGCATGTGAACCACATCTGCAGTTCCTTCTGCTTGGTTATTTTTACCCATCTGCCAAGCACAGGGGGAGCACGACGGGGTCCCCCTCATGGCACAGCCCCTGTCCCCCACGAGCACCGGGGCCCGAGCGGAGGCCGGCGGGAGGCCCAGGGGGAGTCCCGGGGCAGGAGGTCGCGTAGGAGATGAGCGAGGCCCGTGGAGCACCCGGCCCAGGGAAGGAGGACGCGGTTATCCGCGAGCAAGATAAGCACCCGCAGCCCCACACAGCCCAAGGATTTAAAGACAGCCGGCACAGGAAAGAGGAAGGTTGTGCTTTTTTCTTAAGCTTCTTGTTGGAAATGACTTTTTTTACCCCCAGGCTCTCGCTATATGACAAACTGCTACGAGAGCAGAAACGTAGCTCCTAGCGAGCAGAGCCAGCGCGTGGCCGGTCACGGCACGGACCCCGCCGCTGCCTCGTCTGCGGTGGGTTTAGTCTGACACGATGAGTTTATGCTCTCTGCTTTTATGTATTTAAAATAGCAACTGCAAAGCACTTCACAAACACTTACAGCGTGCAGGCCCTACAACGAGGCTGAGGAGGGAGGTATGATCAGGTCTGTATTTCAGAGAACCTGAGGCTCAGAGAGCAGGTGGGATCTGCCCGGGCACAAAGAGCCCCATGGCAGAGCTGGCTGCTTCTGCCCCGTGCAAGCCCCGATCCCGGCAGTGTGACACAAGTGCCCGATGCCCAGGGAGGATTCAGCTCCTCAGCGTGCACCAAAGCTATGCAGGAAGCAGGTTAATTGAGAAGCAGAGGTGTTACGCCAAGGAAAAGGACGAGCTTTGCACATCCAAGGGCTGCAGCGGCACAAACAGGAGGCGAAGGCAAAGGCTGAGGAATCGGCAGCTGTCAGAGTTTCCGAAGAGGAGGGTCAGAGCAAATCTTCAGGGGACGACGCTCCTTCCGCAGCCCGAAAAGCGCTGCCCCCTCTCCTGTCTTCGCTGCCCGCGGGCCGGGCGCTGTCGGCGGCGCTGCTCGGGGGCGCCCGGCCCCCGGGGGGGCCCGGGGGCGGCC